CCGTCAACAAGGTGAAACCCCGTCTCTACTAAAAATACAAAAAAAAATTAGCTGGGCACAGTGGCGCGTGCCTATAATCCCAGCTACTCAGGAGGCTGAGGCAGGAGAATTGCCTGAACCCGGGAGCCGGAGGTTGCAGTGAGCCGAGATCGCGCCATTGCACTCCAGCCTGTGTAACAAGAGAGAAACTCCGTCTCAAATAAAAAGAAAAGAGAACAATCCAAGATGGCCGATCGCTAACATCTCAGGATTGCAGCTCTCAGTGGAAGCGCAGAGAACTAGAGGACGCCACACTTTCAGACAAATTCTGGTCGCTCGCGGAGCAGAAGAACCCCAGTGGAGGAGTCACACGGGTCACCAGCATGACTCTTGTGGCCGGCACAGCGGTTTCACCAGCACCTCGGTGCAGCAGCTCTCAGAGCAGAGTAAACAGGGCTGGCTCCCCTTCCGATCGAGGTTTGGAGGACCCACGTGAGTCCCCAGCACGACTCCTGAGGCGGGTGCAGCAGCTATGACGGCTCCTTGGCGTGGCAGCTCTCAGCGCAGAGTAAACGAGACTGGTTCCCCTTCTGACCGAGGTTTGGTCAGAAGGCAGAGTCGCCTATTACGGACACAAGAAGGAAGCCAGACAGGAGAATCTGGGCAGAAAAGCACCATCAGTCTTAACGCCGCCGTTCTGGCCCTGGGAACTAATAACTTGAACGTCGTCCACTCAAGAGACCTAATCTGAAAGTTGGTAATTTCAAAGACGACAGGAGGATAAATTTACAATGATGGGAAGAAACCAGCGTAAAAAGGCTAAGAATACTCAAAATCAGAACGTTTCTCCCTCTAAAGATGATCACAGTTCCACATCAACAATGGAACAAGGCTTGATGGAGAACGAGCGCATCCCAATAACAGAATCACGCTTCAGGGAATTGATAATAAGAAACTTCTGTGAGTTAAAAGAACATGTTGTAGCCCAACGTAAAGAAACTAAGAACTTTGAAAAAAGGTTTGATGAAATCCTATTGAGAATAGACAACTTAGAGAGGAATATAAGTGAATTAATGGAACTGAAGAATACAATACAGGAACTCCGAGAAGTATGCACAGGTTTAAACACTCAATTGTTCAAGCAGAAGAAAGGATATCAGAGGTCAAAGTCCAACTTAATGAAATAAAACAAGAAGACAAGATTAGAGAAAAATGGATAAAAAGGAATGAGCAAAGTCTCCAAGAAATGTGGGACTATGTGAAAAGACCAAATTTACGTTTGATAAGTGTACCTGAATGCTACGGAGAGAATGAATCCAAGCTGGAAAATACTCTTCAGGATATTATTCAGGAAAATTTTCCTAAACTAGCAAAGCAGGTCAATATTCAACCCCAGGTAATACAGAGAACACCACAAAGATATTTCCCAAGAAGAGCAACCCCAAGGCACATAATCGTTAGATTCACCAGGGTTGAAACGAAGGAGAAAATACTAAGGGCAGCCAGAGTGAAAGGTCAGGTTACCCACAAAGGTAAGCCTATCAGACTTACAGCAGATCTCTCAGCAGAAACTCTACAAGCCAGAAGAGAGTGGGGGCCAATATTCAACATCTTCAAAGAACAGAACCTTCAGCCCAGAATTTCATATCCAGCCAAACTAAGCTTCACAACTGAAGGAAAAATAAAATCTTTTATGAACAAGCAAGTACTCAGAGATTTTATTACCACCAGGCCTGCTTTACAAGAGCTTCTGAAAGAAGCATTACACACAGAAATAAACAACCAGTATTAGCCTTTCGAAAAATATACCAAAAAGTAAAGAGCACCAACATAAAGAAGAATTTACATCAACGAATGGATAAAACAGCCAGTTAACATCAAATGGCAGTAACCCTAAATTTAAATTGACTAAATCCCCCAATCAAAAGACACAGCCAAAACCCAACAGCATGTTATATCCAGACCTGTTTCACATGCAAGGATACACAAAGACTCAAAACAAAGGGATGGAGAAAGATTTACCAACCAAATGGAGAGCAAAAATAAATTAATTAATAAATAAAAAGCAGGAGTTGCAATTCTCATATCGGATAAAATAGATTTTAAAGCAACAAAGATATATAGTGGTAAAAGGATCAATGCAACAACAAGAGCTAACGATCCTAACACCCAGATACATAGAGACTTAGATTCAATGAGACAGAAAATTAATAAGGATATCAAGGACTCGAACTCAGATCTGGAACAAGTAAACTTAATAAATATTTATAGAGCTCTCCACTTCAAATACACAAAATATACATTCGTGTCAATACCACATTACACTTACTCATAGGTTTAAATGAAACATTAATTGGCCATTATCAATACCCATTTTTTTTTCAGAATAAAGCAATATTTCCGTTCACCCTCCCTCTTTCTCTTCCTCTTTCTTCCTCTCCTTTACTCATTTTTTTTTCTTTCCTTCTCTCAAAAAAAAGAAAAAAAAAAAAAGAAATCAACTTGTAAACCTCTAGATCCAGGTCGGCAATGTCTCTCTCATTGCTTGATTTCCTTCCTTCCCTTCCCTCCCTCCCTCCCTCCCTCTCTCCTCCCTTCCTCCCTTCCTTCCTTCCTTCATCCCTTCCTTCCTCCCTCCCTTCCTCCTTCCCTCCCTTCCTGCTTTCCTCCCTAAAAAAAGACACACACACACACACACACACACACACACACAAATTAAATAATAAAAAACTATTATTTACTGAGCACTTTTCTCACAGAAACATACAACAACGGTTCTGCTCTCAAAGAGGTTTTTTTGTTTTGTTCACTCTGTCCCCCAGGCTGGAGTACAGTGTAATCCCAGCACTTTGGTAGGCGGAGGTGGGTGGATCACCTGAGTTCAGGAGTTTGAGACCAGCCTGGTCAACATGGTGAAAGCTTATCTCTACTGAAAACACACACACAAAATTAGCTGGGCATCATGGCAGGTGCCTGTAATCCCAGCTACTCAGGAGGCTGAGGCAGGAGACTCAGTTGAACCTAGGAGGTGGAGGTTGTAGTGAGCCAAGATTGCACCATTGGACTCCAATCTGGGCCACAGAGTGAGACTCTGTCTCAACAAAATAAAATAAATGAGTACTTTGGGAGCCTGGGGTGGGAAGATTACTTGACTGCAGTGGGCCATGATTGCACCACTGTACTCCAGCCTGGGCGACAAAGTAAGATGTGTCCGCCCCCACCCCACCAAAAAAAAAAAAAAAAGCCAGGCACAGTGGCTCACATGCGTAATCTCAGTCCTTTGGGAGGCCCAGGTGGGCAGACTACCTGAAGTCAGGAGTTCAAAACAAGTCTGGCCAACATGGTGAAACTCCATTTCTACTAAAATTACAAAGAATTAGCTGGATATGGTGGCTTGTGCCTGTAATCCCAGTCAGTAGGGAGTCTGTAAGAATTAGATGAGATATGCACATTAAAAGAAAAAGACAAAAATTATAAAAAAATAAAGAAAAAGCCAGGCGCGGTGGCTCACGCCTGTAATCCCAGCACTTTGGGAGGCTGAGGCGGGTGAATCACAAGGTCAAGAGATTGAGACCATCCTGGTCAACATGATGAAACCCCATCTCTACTAAAAATACAAAAAATTAGCTGGGCATGGTGGCACGTGCCTGTAATCCCAGCTACTCAGGAGGCTGAGGCAGGAGAATTGCCTGAACCCAGGAGGCGGAGGTTGTGGTGAGCCGAGATCGCGCCATTGCACTGCAGCCTGGGTAACAAAGAGCGAAACTCTGTCTCAAAAAAAAAAAATTAATTAAAAATAAATAAATAATAGTAGGGAGTCTGAGGCAGGAGAATTGCTTGAAACCAGGAGGCAGAGGTTGCAGTGAACTGAGATCATGCCACTACATTGCAGCATTGCAGTCTGAACAACAGACCAAGACTCTGTCTCAAAAAAAACATACGTATATATATACACACACATACATATACAAACACACATACACACACACACATATAAATGGGGTGAGTGACTGATACTGCCAATAAATAAAAGGAAAAACAGAAGGGTTGGTGATGATGAGTGTGTTTGTGGATGAAAGCTCAGAGCCTCAAAAGCCTACAGAGGTCTGCGAGCTGGCAGCCAGACTCAGCTGGACGGGCAGAAGGTTAAGGAAGCAATGTCAAGGGTCTGGGCGGGTCTAATGTGCATGAATGGCTGTGCACTCACAAGTCAAGTATAGGCCTTCTCACCTGGGTTTGAAGCTACCCTTTCTTCTTCTTCTTTTACAGAGTCTTGCTCTGTCACCCGGGCTGGAGTGTAATGGCGTGATCTCGGCTTACTGCAACCTCTGCCTCCCAGGTTCAAGTGATTCTCCTGCCTCACCTCCCTGCTTCAGCTATAGGCATGTGCCTATAGTTCTAGCTGCATGGGAGGGGAAGGTGGGAGGATTGCATAAGCCTGTGAAGTTGAGGCTACACTGAGACCTGATCGAGCCACTGCCCTCCAGCCTAGGTGACAGTGGGACCCTGTCTCAAAAATACATACATACATACATACATACATACATACATACATAAGAAGCTCAATCTCTGTCACCCAGGCTGGAGTACAGTGGCATCTTCATAGCTCACAGCAGCCTCAACATCTTGCGCTCAAAGGATCCTCTCAGCTCAGCCTCTTGAGTAGCTGGGACTACAGATGCATGCCACCATGCCTGGCTTTTTTTTTTTTTTTCTTTTTCTTAGATATAAGGTCTTGCTATGCTGCCCCAGGTAGTCCTGAATTCCTGGCTTCAAGCAAAGCGATTCTCCCACCTAGATCTCCCCAAGCCCTGAAATTACTGGTGCTAGGCACAACACCCAGCCAGAAGCTGCCATTTCTTTTCCCCTGTCTCCTGTAGGATGATTTGAAGTAGCTCTAAGCAGGTGGCAGAGGAGGTGAGTCTCTCAAGGTTTTCCTAGCCCAATCCCTCGGGCTCTAGAGGGCAGTACAAGTCAAAATGGCCAAGGGCGGGCCCAGGGCTCACAGCCAGTTTGGGCAGAACCAGACTGGAATTTCTCTGACTTTAAGCACACTGCAGGGGCTCCTAGGCTGAAGTAAGTACTGCAGAACTTTCAGAGACTCTTTTAAATTACAGCAAAATGGTGTGTGTAAAGGGTGTGTTTCTGAAAAAATTGTCTATAGCTTTTTCAAATAATGAAGATAAAGAAGGTTGGAGCCTGCCATAAGGTATGAGATCCAAGGTATCCCCTTCCCAGGGTTGGTCTCGAGACAGGCCCCACACCATCTTCCTAAATGTAGTCTGGCAGCCCATGATCTCCCTGGGGCATGCCATGGAATACTCAGCTGCCCCCATCCAGGACTCTGTGTGTCGAATCAGGGGAGGGCAGGAAACAAGATTTTCTCCGGTCCTTGGGGGCTGCTGGAAGAGCCGGCAGCTTGGAGCAGCTTCCTGCAGCTGCTGGGAACAGGCAGCCAAGGAATGCTTGTACTTCCCTGGATTTTCTGGGACCCACGTCCTGCTGCTGAAGTCACTGGGCCCTCCCAGGTCCCACCATAGGCCTCTCTGTGGGCACATTTTATTCCATTATGAAAGGAATCAGGAATGAGATGACCTTAGTATGAGGCAATGTAAGGCCCAGCAGGAGGCTGCCCAGCTGGCTCTCTTGCCAGTTTCCCTATCTTGTTTTCTGTGCTCCCTCTGCTTGACCCCTACTCCAGATTATTCTGCTCAGTCAAGCAAGTCCCAGCAAAGTCCAATATGCCTGGTCAAGGCCTGCTGGGGCAATCACCTCTGCCCCATTCTTGTCCATCTGGCCAGGCTTAGACATGTCCTGCTACTGCTGAACTCTTCCTGGGAGTTCACCAAGCCAGCAGGAAATTCAGCTGCTCCCCTCTCCAAAGACTCCACTAAAGTGACTCCTCCTCCATGTGGCCTTCTCAGACCAGGTCCTCACACCTCCTTGTTTCCTGGATGCAGCTTTTGCTACCCAAGAGCAGAAACACATGCTTCTCAGCTGCCCTGGCCATGACTTCTATTTCTCTGCTTTTGGCCTTCTTGAATGTCTAGGAATGGAGTAGGTGCTCAGTAAAGGGTTTTTTTGTTTTTTCGAAACAGAGTCTCACTCTGTTGCCCAGACTGGAGTGCAGTGGCATAATCTTGGCTCACTGTAACCTCTGCCACCCAGGTTCAAGTGATTCTCCTGCCTTAGCCTACCAAGTAGTTGGGATTACAGGCGCTCACCACGGTGCCCAGCTAAAGTAAAGGGCTTTATAATTTGATTTGGCTACTTCCCTGCTCTCCTCCCAATTCCTTACCCTAATTACAAATAATGCTGGGCACAGTGGCTCACGCCTGTAATCCCAGCACTTTGGGAGGCCAAGGCGAGTGGACTGCCTGAGTTCAGGAGTTTGAGACCAGCCTGGGCAACACGGTGAAACCCTGTCTCTACTAAAATACAAAAACTTAGCTGGGCATGGTGGTGTGTGCCTATAATCCCATCTACTCAAGAGGCTGAGACAGAAGAATCACGCCAACCTGGGAGGTGGACGTTGCAGGGAGCCGAGATTGCGTCACTACACTCCAGCCTGGGCAATAGAGCGAGACTCCATCTCAAAAACAACAACAAAATTACTGAAGTGGGCTTAGATTAAACCCCAGAACTGCAGAAGTTCCTATAATCAGGACACCCTGAGAATATCTTTGTTCAACCACTGGCCCCTAGGTCTTTTTGCTGCCTTTTTAAGGGGGTGAACCAACCTGGAGGCCTCTGCCTTTTCTTCCTTACTAAGGTTACCCTGCAGCCTCTTCTCTCTGTCTCTGGATCCTGACTACTCTCAGAATTCAACAGTGTCAAGACTCTACCAAAGTAAGTTCAAAGGGCTACTGACTGTGTGCCAAAGGTGGGAGAGGGACATAAGCCTAGCCTTATTCCTCCTGGACTGGCCTGGAAGCCCTTAGGTGAGTCTAAGGCCTCTGTGTCCTGGGCCCCAGGGTTGGATAGGTTCTGGTAACTACAGTTTTGATGACATTGTATCCATTCATTGACTCATTCAGCAAGCTCTTGGCCACTTACTGGCTACGTGACCTTTGGTAAGTAATTTAACCTTCCGGCCTCAGCTTCCTCATCTGTAACGTGAGACCAATAATAACTGCGACAGAGCGTTGTTGGAAGACATGGTGAGATACTGTGTGCCCAGGGTATAGGACAGAGCTCAGTGATGGGAACTGTTATTATCAAGGGCAATCTTTGCCTTCTAGAAGCTTGAGGTTTCCTAGACAATGGGGAGTCATGTAGCTGGGAGACCCCATAAGTGTAGAGGCAGGAGCCAGAAGCCTCAGCCTATTTCCATATAAATAATGAAGAAGAAAGTAACTAGAAATATAATCATAGTAGTTACTAGTTATTCATATGTGACCTTAGTTATTCATAGGTGATCCTAATTCTTTTACTAATGCCTCTCAGGTCGGAAGTGTGAACCTGGGGCGACATTGTGAAATGAATGACCCTAAGGCAAGATGCTTTAAGCTGTCTGTCATGCCCCTGTAAGGGCTGCTGGAGGGTGCTTCAGCTGTGCAGCAGTGCTAGTGCTGGGAAAGCGCCTGTTATTTAGCCAGTGAGGTAAGGAGACACCCAAGATGGCTGAGACTTCTCCTTCCTTGGGGGAGTTAGGAGAAAACTTTGCTTCTCTAAGCTCTTGTGGTAGGCCTGATGCTGTCAGGTAGGCCTGCAGATATCTGGGGGCTTGTCTCTATGTGATGTTGTGCTTCAGTGGTCACGTTCCACATCCCCTCTCATGTTCCGCTTCTGCACCTGGTTCCTTTTTTCTTAGAAGAGATAATCAGTAAAAGTAACGTAAATCTTAATGTCTTTGTTCTTTCTTGACCAGTATGGAAAAAGTGCTGAAGCATTATGCTCCTTCCCTCATCTTGGGTACTAGAAATTCCCGAGCCCCTACCTGTATGACATGTGATGTACTTGACCCTATCACTGCCATGCCCTATCTACCCTGCCCCCAGTCACCGACCACCAGTGCCATGCCCTACCTACCCTGCCCCCAGCTTTGTGCTCAATAAAAGTCAGAATGTGCGGACACTTGGGGCCACTACTGGACTCCACGCTTTGGTTGGCAGTGGACCCCTGGGCCCAAACTTTCTTTTCTCTATCTCTGTGTCTTGTGTTGTTTATTTCTACAATTTCTTGTCTCCACACCAGTAGAAAGGGCTCCCAAAGACCCTGTAGAGCTGGACCCTACAGAGTCAGATGTCAGGAAGTCTTGGGTGTGTTGTTCTTGAGTGGAATGGGCAAAAGTTGGGTAGGTGGAAGAAGAGGAACCTTCACAAGTAAGAGTATCCATAGGGGGTCAAGGAGAGAGGAGGAGACTGGTAAGTCTTGACCAACCCAGGACAAGTCCCTGTTGCCCAGGGTGGGATGAGGGTGGGGCTTAATTTATTCTGCAGGTAGCTGAACCTCTCTGAACGTACTTGAAGGTGTGCGCGCTTGTGGAGTTTGGGTTCAAAAATGTCAAATTTTGACCTGCAGTCCTAATTTTCTGTAGGTCTCTCCAGCAGGCTACAGGTCCCCAGTACAGACTAAGAGATCCAAGAGGCCTATTTTTCTTCTTTTTCTTTTTTTTTTAAGACGAAGTTTTGCTCTTCTTGCCCAGGCTGGAGTGCAATGGGGTGATCTTGGCTTACTGCAACCTCTGCCTCACAGGTTCAAGCAATTCTTCTGCCTCAGCCTTCTGAGCCGCTGGGATTATAGGAACGTGCCACCATGCCCGGATCATTTTTTGTATATATATATATTTTTTTTTGAGACGGAGTTTCGCTCTTGTTACCCAGGCTGGAGTGCAATGGCACGATCTTGGCTCACCGCAACCTCCGTTCTGGGTTCAAGCAATTCTCCTGCCTCAGCCTCCCGAGTAGCTGGGACTACAGGCGCACACCACCATGCCCAGCTAATTTTTGTATTTTTAGTAGAGACGGGGTTTCACCTCATTGACCAGGATGATCTCAATCTCTTGACCTCGTGATCCACCGCCTCAGCCTCCCAAAGTTCTGGGATTACAGGCTTGAGCCACCATGCCCGGCCATTTTTTGTACTTTTATTTATTATTATTATTATTTTTTAGACGGAGTTTCGCTCTTGTTACCCCGGCTGGAGTGCAATGGCACGATCTTGGCTCACCGCAACCTCCGCCTTCTGGGTTCAAGCAATTCTCCTGCCTCAGCCTCCCGAGTAGCTGGGACTACAGGCGCACACCACCATGCCCAGCTAATTTTTGTATTTTTAGTAGAGACGGGGTTTCACCTCATTGACCAGGATGATCTCAATCTCTTGACCTCGTGATCCACCGCCTCAGCCTCCCAAAGTTCTGGGATTACAGGCTTGAGCCACCATGCCCGGCCATTTTTTGTACTTTTATTTATTATTATTATTATTTTTTAGACGGAGTTTCGCTCTTGTTACCCCGGCTGGAGTGCAATGGCGCGATCTCGGCTCACCGCAACCTCTGCCTTCTGGGCTCAGGCAATTCTCCTGCCTCTGCCTCCCGAGTAGCTGGGATTACAGGCACGCACCACCATGCCCAGCTAATTTTTGTATTTTTAGTAAGGACGGGGTTTCATCATGTTAACCAGGATGGTCTCGTTCTTGACCTCGTGATCCACCCGCCTCAGCCTCCCAAAGTGCTGGGATTACAGGCGTGAGCCACGGCACCTGGACTTATTATTATTTTTTTTAAGACGGGGTTTCACCATGTTGGTCAAGCTGGTCTTGAACTCCTGACTCAGGTGATCCGCCTGCCTTGGCCTCCAAAGTGCTTGGATTACAGGCATGAGCCAGTACGCCCAGCCTCGTTTTTTGTATTTTTAGTAGAGATGAGGTTTCACCACGTTGATCAGGCTGGTCTCGAACTCCTGACCTCTGGTGATCCACCCATTTCAGCTTCCCAAAGTGCTGGGATTACAGGCATGAGCCACTGCACCCAGCAAGAGTCCTAATTTTCTTTCTTTCTTTTTTTTTTGAGACCGAGTTTCACTCTTGTTGCCGAGGCTGGAGTACAATGGCACGATCTCAGCTCACTGCAACCTCCACCTCCCAGGTTCAAGTGATTCTCCTGCTTCAACCTCCTGAGTAGCTGGGATTACAGGCATGTGCCACCAGGCCAGGCTCATTTTGTATTTTTAGTAGAGACAGGGTTTCTCCATTGTTGGTCAGGCTAGTCTCAAACTTCTGACCTCAGATAATCCGCCCACCTTGGCCTCCCAAAGTGCTGGGATTACAGGCATGAGCCACGACACCCGGCCAAGAGTCCTAATTTTCTTTTTTCTTTTTTTGAAATAGAGTCTCACTCCGTTGACCAGGCTGGAGTGTAGTGGTACAATCTTGGCTCATTGCAACCTCTGCCTCTTAGGTTCAGTTGATTCTCCTGCTTCAGCCTCCTGAGTAGCTGGGACTACAGGCTCCTGCCACCATGCCTGGCTAATTTTTGTATTTTTAGTAGAGACAGGGTTTTACCTTGTTGGTCAGGTTGGTCTCGAATCTCTGACCTCAGGTGATCCATCTGCCTCAGCCTCCCAAATGCTGGGATTACAGGCATGAGCCACTGTGCAGGCCTAGAGGCCTAATTTTCAATCAAAAGTGTATTCATGGCTGGACATTGTTGCTCATGCCTGTAATCCCAGCAGTTTGGGAGGCTGAGGTGGGCAGATTGCTTGAGCCCAGGAGTTCGAGACCAGCCTGGGTAACATGGCAAAACCCCATCTCTACAAAAAATTAGAAAATTAGCCATGTGTGGTGGTGCGTGCCTATAGTCTTAGCTACCTTTGAGGCTGAGGCAGGAGGGTCACTGGAGCATGTGGAAGTTGAGGCTCTAGTGAGCCAGGATCTCAACACTACACCCCAGCCTGAGTGACAGAGTAAGATGCTGTTTCTCTCTCTCTCTCTCTCACACAAACACACACACACACACACACACAGAGTTTATTCACTCATTGTGTTAAATAAAATTATGGGGCTGGGTGCAGTGCAGTGGCTCATGCCTGTAATCCCAGCACAGGAGGCTGAGGTGGGCAGATCATGAGGTCAAGAATTTGAGACCAGCCTGGCCAACAAGGTGAAACCCCTGTCTCTACTAATAATACAAAAATTAGCTGGGGGTGGTGGGGGGTGTGCGCCTGTAATCCCTGTTACTTGGGAGGCTGAGGCAAGAGAATCTCTTGAACCCAGAAGGCAGAGGTTGCAGTGAGCCGAGATTGCGCCATTGCACTCCAACCTAGGCAACAGAGCAGGACTCCATCTTGGAAAAAAAAAAATTGGGCTGGGTGTGGTGGCTCACGCCTGTAATCCAAACACATGGAGGCCAAGGTAGGCAGATCACCTGAGGTCAGGAGTTCAAGACCAGCCTGAGCAACATGGTGAAACCCCGTCTTTAAAAAAAAAAAAAAAAAAAAGCTGGGCGCGGTGGCTCACACCTGTGATCCAAGAACTTTGGAGGCCAAGGCGGGTGGATCACCTGAGGTTGGGAGTTCAAGACCAGCCTGACCGTGCTCGCTTCGGCAGCACATATACTAAAATTGGAACGATACAGAGAAGATTAGCATGGCCCCTGCGCAAGGATGACACGCAAATTCGTGAAGCGTTCCATATTTTTGTCGTTTGTAGGGACATGGATGAATCTGGAAAACATCATCCTCAGCAAACTGACACAAGAACAGAAAATGAAACACCGCATATTCTCACTCATAGGTGGGTGATGAAAAATGAGAACACATGGACACAGAAAGGGGAGTACTAAACACTGGGGTCTATTGGGGGGAAAAGGGGAGGGCCAGTGGGAGGGGGAGGTGGGGAGGGATAGCCTGGGGAGAAATGCCAAATGTGGGTGAAGGGGAGAAGAAAAGCAAAGCACACTGCCATGTGTGTACCTACGCAACTGTCTTGCATGCTCTGCTCATGTACCCCAAAACCTATAATCCAATAAAAAATTAAAAAAAAAAAAAAAAGACCAGCCTGACCAACATGGTGAAACCCCGTCTTTAGTGTCCGGGTGCGGTGGCTCACGCCTATAATCCCAGCACTTTGGGAGGCCAAGGCGGGTGGATCACGAGGTCAAGAGATCCAGACCATCCTGGTCAGCAAGGTGAAACCCTGTCTCTACTAAAAATACAAAAAAATTAGCTGGGCATGGTGGTGCACACCTGTAGTCCCAGCTACTTGGGAGGCTGAGGCAGGAGAATTGCTTGAACCCAGGAGGTGGAGGTTGCGGTGAGCAGAGATCCCACCATTGCACTCCAGCCGGGGTAACAAGAGCGAAACTCCATCTCAAAAAAAAAAGAAAACAAAATTATGGATTGTTTTGAACTGAGTGCCTGCACTAGGCCGCAACAGATAAGGCCAAACCAAAATAGAGTCAATGACGCTAAATGCCATGTAATTAAGCTGAAACTTTAAGGAAGCAGATATATCCCAAAACAGATGAGAGTTTTTTTCTAAAAACCAGAAATTCTAATCTACCTGTATTAGTGTAATTAGGACGCTCCCTCTGCTTTAACCCTTAAGTAATCTGATGTTAACCAATAATTTTTTTTTTATTCTATTTCCTTGTTCCCACCTTATAAACTTTCCCTACTTTTCTGCTCCTGCCTGGTGGGAGCTCCCACTCTGTTTTATAGAATGGAGGCTGCCCCAAATATATATACATTTTAAATAGAGACAAGGTCTTGCTATGTTGGCCAGGCTGGTTTCAAACTACTAGGCTCAAGCAATTCTTCTGCCTCAGCTTCCCAAAGTGCTGGAATTACAGGCATTAGCCACCATACCTGGCCTGTCCCAATTCTTGAGTGTCAAATAAAAACCAATTCGATTAGTAACTAAATTTGTTGTAATTTTGACTTCTGTCTACCGCCATACCACCCTGAACGTGCTTGATATCATCTGTTGTAATTTGACTTTGGACAATTCCAATTTTATTGAGTATCTTCTAAGTGCCAGGCACTGTCTCCAGTGCTAGAGGTTCCCAGGGTGGGGAAACAAAACAGATAGACTCACACTCTCTGGTATGTCCTAGTGATAACCTAGTGTGTGGTGGCTCACGCCTGTAATCCCAGCACTTTGGGAGACTGAGGCGGGTGGATCACGAGATCAGGAATTCGAGACCATCCTGACCGAAACGATGAAACCCTGTCTCTACTAAAAATACACACACACAAAAATTAGCTGGTCGTGGGATTCACGTCTGTAATCCCAGCTACTCAGGAGGCTCAGGCAAGAGAATTGCTTGAACCTGGGAGGCAGAGGTTGTGGAGAGCCAAGATCGCACCACTGCACTCCAGCCTGGTGACAGAGCGAGACTCCATCTCAAAAAAAAAGAAAAGAAATTACACATAATCTCACACATAATTAGATAGTGGGCTAAGTAGGGGTCTAGTGCATGGACACTCTGCCCATTCCAGAAGCTAAGACAGAATGAGCAAGACTGAGGTAGGTCAAGTGGGTAAAGAAAGCTGCAGATGGGCCAGGTGAGGTGGTTTATGCCTATAATCCCAGCACTTTAGGAGACTGAGGTGAGAGGGTTGCTTGAGCCCTGGGAGGTCAAAGCTGCAGTGGAGTGGTGATTGCACCACTGCAATCCAGCCAGGGTAACAGAGGGAGACCCTGTCTCGTAAAAAGAAAAAAAAGAAAGACAGCTATGGGTCAAGGGTCAGCATGTGGGAAGCCTTGAGGGGAGCCAGCAGATGCCTGGCATGTTTATAGAAACTTAAAGAGGGACCATGTGGCTGGAGTTATGCGCAAAGAAAAGCTGGAGGAAAGAGGTTGAGGTAAGTATTGAAAGAAGTGGAAGTGGAGAGGTATGGGGAGAAGTGGAGGGTGAAGAAGCAGGAGAAGGTAAGTAAAGTGGAGGCGATAGGACCAGGAGGCTGATCAGGGGGAAGGTGAGGGATTTTTATCCTCCAGCAGCTGGAAGTTGGGAAGAACACTGAGCAGGGCAGGATCACAGATCGATTTGGGTTTGAAAGTTAGCTCTGGCTGCTGCCACAGTGGACTGGATAAGCAGTGTGCTGCACACAAAGTCTCCAGCTGAGGACAGGGCCCTGTAGTCCCTCCTTTCTGCACACCACTATTCTTCGGAGGGAGAAGGTATTCAGACGACCAAGGCCCAAGAAGAAAAGAGGGGAGTGCAGGGTAGAGGCTGGCACCTCGGGCGGATAGGAGGCAGGGGGACCTCGGCCCTTGAGGAGGCTGAGAACAGCAGCAGCTGTTGCTGCTGGCAAGGAAGCGGATAGGCAGCCCATGTCTGTGGTGGCCAGTGGGTGCCAGGGTATCCAGGATTTAAGGCCAAGGACATCTGAAAGGGTGGGCAGCAGAGCCAGCAAGACAAGGGAGAAGGAGGTCCTGGCAGTTCAGCCAGGGACAGTGTCCCACCCTGATCCAGCTGTCTGGGAACAGCTGCAGGAAGAGGGAGGGAGGAGGCCTAGCAGCAGCAGGTGAGGAAGCTCTCTAGTTGCATGAGCATGGGAAAGGAGAGCTGGTGCCAGTGGGAGGGAATTGAGGGAGGGGACCCAGGAAACAGGGATAGAAGCATGTCCATACCAAAGGGACTGCCTGGTTCTCATGAATACAAATGCTGCTGGAATTCTTCAGGGAAAGAATGTATGGGTGGGCGATTGGAGTGGGGAGGGAACCAAGTACTCTCCTCTTCCTTCCAGAGGTTTCCCCAAAGGCCATCCTCCTAGGCTGCTTGCTCCCTCTCAGACCCCTCCCATCACCTCATTCCCAGATTGAATTTTCCTCTTTCCCCACACTCCTCTTTTCTTATCCACTTCTGTGGTTTGATCCTACTCCTAGGAAGAAAAGCAAACAGAAGAAGCCTGGGTGTAGTGGCTCATGCCTATAATCCCAGCACTCTGGGAGGCCAAGGCAGGAGGATCACCTGAGGTCAGAGTTCAAGACCAGCCTGGCTAACATGGCAAAACCCTGTCTCTACTAAAAATACAAAAATTAGCTTGTGTGGTGGTGCACAGCTGTAATCCCAGCTACTTGGGAGGTTGAGGCAGGAGAATAACTTAAACCCAGGAAGTGGAGAGACTGTGCCAGTGTACTCCAACCTGGGTGACAGAGTGAGACTCCGTCTAAAAATGAAAAGAAAAAAAGAAAAGCAATGGCCGGGTGCGGTGGCTCAAGCCTGTAATCCCAGCACTTTGGGAGGCCGAGGTGGGTGGATCACGAGGTCAAGAGATCGAGACTATCCTGGTCAACATGGTGAAACCCCGTCTCTACTAAAAACATAAAAAATTAGCTGGACATGGTGGTGCGTGCCTGTAATCCCAGCTACTCAGGAGGCTGAGGCAGGAGAATTGCCTGAACCCAGGAGGCGGAAGTTGTGGTGAGCCGAGATCGCGCCATTGCACTCCAGCCTGGGTAACAAGAGCGAAACTCTGTCTCAAAAAAAAAAAAAAAGAATGAAAAGCAAACAGAACCTAGGATTCTTAAGGGCCCTTTGGAAAGCTCTGGTCCACAAGGATGGAAGAATACAGAGAGAGGTCTTTGCCCAAGGCCCTACAGGCCCCACAGTCAGTCAGAGGCAGGGACCAGAGCACCTGCTTGTATACACCCAGCCTTGGGGCCCTGACCCTGGGTAAGACCTTGACTGTAAGAGCAAGTGGGCCTGGGTACCCCTGGGCTCTGCCTCCTGTGAGGTGAGGGCTCTTACTAGAAACAAGTCAGTTCCCAGTGGTTGTAGGTGTCCTGAGGAGGCCTGGGATTTCCCACTTCTCTGCCGCCCAGGGCCTCAGTGCTGCTGACCTTGAACTAATCGCTGAGAGCCCCAGGCAGCAGAGTAAGTACAGGGGGGTTTTGGGTAGAGGGAGAGTAGGGGGTCAGCTGAGGCCAGGCTTTCTCCCTGGGATTTCCCCAAAGTAGGAGGAGCAGCTGCTGGGCCCTGGAGCAGCCTTCCTCACACTTAAATGTTTTCACCTTTACATTGTATCAGCTGCTACATTCTTTTTTTTTTTTTTTTGAGAGGGAGTTTTGCTCTTGTTACCCAGACTGGAGTGCAATGGCACGATCTCGGCTCACCGCAACCTCCGCCTCCTAGGTTCAAGCAATTCTCCTGCCTCAGTCTCCCGAGTAGCTGGGACTACAGGCAGGCACCACCATGCCCAGCTAATTTTTTGCATTTTTAGTAGAGACGGGGTTTCACCTTGTTGACCAGGATGGTCTTGATCTCTTGACCATGTGATCCACCCATCCCGGCCTCCCAAAGTGCTGGGATTACAGGCTTGAGCCACTGTGCCCAGCGAGCTGCTACATTCTTTTAAGTATCCCAGGGCACAGAGATGATGAAATATTTCTTTTAATCTTTTCTGGAAAAACCCTCCACACACTATGAATGGTGTGTGGCACTGGGGACACGTCAGTGCCTCTGCAGAGAGCCACTACCATGCTCATAGCCAGTCAGACCCACCCTTGAAGGCCCACAGCCTGGACTTCAAGCTGGGGTCTCTCTCTTTCTTACCTCAAGGGCCAGTCCTGAGCTCAGCCCCCAATACCTTCCTAGTTGCTGGGGTCCCTTGCCAGGTCCAGCACAGTTAACTCATCTGGTGGACATAGACATTTTCCTGAGGGTCACGCCTATTTGCAGGAGACCCCAGCCAGAACTTCTGTCCAGCTTGGTTAAGTGACAGCTGCTGGGGGGACGTTTCAGGGTCACCGGCCCAGAGCATCCCAGAGATGGATGGGACAGCTGACTGGGGCTTTGTGCCTACCAGGTTACCCTGCACCTGTCCTGAGGGCCTCCTGCACGCTGGTGTCAGGCAGTAGCTCAGGGGGAGGCAGGTGGGGGGTTGCCCT